TTTTTTGGTTGACTTCTCTTCCCGGTGGGACTGTTGCTTGAGCATTAAATAAGTAGCCATCACCTGGTCGAATTTTTTTTCTTGCAAACTTTCCCTTATCTCTCCTGGATTATATCCCAGGTCACTCATGATGTCTATTATAATGGGATCAGGATGGCTGTTGGTGTTCTCTCCCAAAGAACCAGGAGAAGCTTCATTGCTCTGCTTTAGCCACTTGAATCTGACTATGTCGTGGACTGTTGGCCTTTCTCCAGGGTTGACTGTTAACAGTTTGGCTATCACATCCCAAAGTTCTGCTGACAACCTGAACTTCATAGAGTATTTTCCTCCCAAGATCTTCTCCTTTATTGCTTCATAAGTATATCCATCGAAAGGGAGGCACCCCGTGGACATAAAGTATAGTACGACCCCCAAACTCCAGATGTCAATTGCCCGGCCATCGTACCCTTGATCTATAAACAGTTCTGGGGCACAGTAAGGGAGGGTCCCACAGAACGTTGAGAGCTTCTGGCCAGTGATTATCTTGGTACTCAATCCAAAATCAATCAGTTTTACATTTCCTTTTCGGTCCAATAAAATGTTTTCTGGCTTTAAATCCCTGTGGACTATCCCTTTCTGGTGACAGTACTGAAGGGCACACACAATCTGTTTGAACAGCCTGTGACACTCCTCCTCTGCTAGGTACCCAAAGTCCACAATTCTGCTGTGCAGCTCTCCTCCCACAGCATGCTCCAGAACGATGTAGATGTTTTCGGTGGTCTCGATTATGTGTAAAAGTTTAATAATATGTGGATGATTGAGGGATTTCATGATTTCGATTTCGGATTTGAAGATGGGGTTTCTCCTGCTTTTGGGGAGACGTTTTACTGCTACCTTTGTGTGGGTGAGCAGATGGCTAGCCAATCGGACTTCTCCAAATGCTCCTTGGCCAAGGGATGTTAGTATTTGGTAATGATTTGTTAAGGCGTCTTCCTCAGAGGGGCTGGACCTAAGGTCCTGACACACTCGCCATCTCCTCATCTTTCTCGATAAGAACGGTCAGTGTCCACACCACCTAGTGATGCAAGATAGAAGAAAAGTAAAAGTGGCTCTACGAGAAACATTTATAGCCTTAAATATTTGTTCTAATACATACAAACACAAAGGTGGTCCAAATAATCGAATGATGCATGTCAAAGTCATAGAAATATAAGTACAAACCAAATCTCAAAGAATTAGAATCAAGTTCAGAATATGAATTGATGACATGGAGACTGAAATGATACAAAGAAAATGTAACTTTCTCAGTTTGGAGTTCTTAGCTGTGGATAGCCGCTATGACCAAGGCAACTCTTATAAAGGACAACATTTATTTGGAGCCGCCTTACTGGTTCAGGAGTTCAGTCCTTATCACCAATGAAAGAGCATGACAGCATCCAGACAGGTATGGAGCAGGAGGAGATGACAGCCCTACATCTTCACCTGAAGGCTACTAGGAAAAGACTGTCACTTCTAGAAAGTTAGGAGTAGGACATCAAAACCCACCTGGACAGTGACACTCTTCATCAAACAAGGCAACACCTGTTAATAGTTCCACTCCCTGAGCCAAGAGTATTCAAAGCACTCCAGTAACAAAGACTTGTTTAGTCTAAGGACAAGTATAACTAATGGACACTTCACTAATAACTCATAGAAATAGGAAGATACACATTAATACTATTAGAGAGAAGATAAGGCAGTATACATAAATACAAAGAAATCTGGGAATCCAAACAATCACTAGAGAATGTTTTGAAGGTAATGAAAAAAATCTAGATAAATTGATAAACCTCTAGACACATATTAAATTACCAACGAAGAACTAAGACGAGAGAAAACATCTAAACTGAAATTCTGTAAGAGCCAGAGGCACTGTAGAGCAATTGCACTTATGACCTCACAGCACTGTGACCTGCTCAGCCTCAAGTCAGTCAAAATTTCTTCATGAAGAGGGGAAGTGGACAAGAAATCACACACCTAGCTGATGAGCCCTTCCCAATTGATAGCTATCAATTTTAAGGGTATGGCCCCTGATAAGGTTGGACAGACTACTCTTCAGTGGACGAGTATAAGGACAAGAGAAACTGTGCTTGATAGCCAGAGACAAAACAAAATAAAAGACCCAAACAAGCATGGCAGGAAATGTCGCGTGGAGGATCTGTTAGGAGATAGGGGAAAGGTTAAATATGACCAAAGTATCATGTAAACTTCTCAAAGAGCTAAATTCAAACAAACAAACAACAACAACAAAACAGCAAAATTGAAATCAGACTTTTAAAAAATCTCTTTAACATCAAAAACAACAGAAAAGGCCAGCCCAGACCCTCTCATTGACTCCTATCAAAACATGAAAGAGCAGCCCACATCATGCTTCTGAAACTAGGCAACAAAATAGAGGACGAGGAGGAAGAACCCAGATTCATCTTTGGAGCCAGGATTACTCAGATACTGAGGCCATGTGGGCACAGTAACAGTAACAAGCAGAAAGCATAACCAACACCAGTGAACAGGGAAGTAGGCTCAGATATTTTGGTCATCTTGATAAGCCCTTAGAACCAGTGATCACAGGAGTGTTCAGGGAACTTGTTTACTGTCTTGCTTGTTTCTTGACTATTTACAGCTATTGTATTGTTAATTCTTCAACCTAGAACTTTAATATTTGCATGTAATTAAAATAGTATAAAAGCAAAAAGGAGGAGGGGGATAGGATAGGGGGTTTCTAGGGAGGAGAAATGGTGAAAGGGGATGACATCTGAAATGTAAATAAATAAAATATCCAATAAAAAAATTCAAAAGGTCCAAACTTCGTGATCAAGATGGGTTCATCCAGTCAAGCCAGGGCTGCAACAACCACTAACTGATTGACAATACACAGATACAAAAGGGCAAGAATCACATGCTCAGCTGTAGAGTGAAATTGTCATTTATAAAGAACATGGATCTGGAAATCACTCTGTTGTGTGTAACAAGTCAGTCCAAAGGTATTGACTCTAAACTGCTGAAGCCTAGGTAGGGGAAAGAGCCTGTGGTAAAAAGGGATTCATTAGGAAAGAGAAGAGGCTGGGGTACAGGTTCTTAGATTAGGTGAATATTATCAATGTGCATTATGTGTTATATACAGAAAATTGGGGGGAAATGTCCTACATTGTATGCTTACTGTTTCTTAACAAAAACTTTAAAAAGTAAATAAAAGGCAATGAAATTGAGTAGGTAGAAAAAGACAAATTGAAGATAATTAATGAAGATAATTTCAACTATGTAAAAATGAATGTCTAAAATCAAAGACAAACTAAACACAATAAAATGAAAAACTAAAACCAGTACCTGCAAACCTCAAGCAGTAAGCTGAGATAAAGGCTCACCGTGTCAAAGTCCAAGTAGATTGATTCACCAGTATCCGAGTCCAAACCTTTGCCAGAATCCAAGTCCAAATCGTCACCAGAATCCGAGTCCAAACCTTTGCCAGAATCCAAGTCCAAAATGTCACCAGTATCCAAGTCCAAATCGTCACCAGAATCCGAGTCCAAACCTTTGCCAGAATCCGAGTCCAAAACGTCACCAGTATAAGAGTCCAAAATTTTCACCAAAGTCCAAGTCTCACAAATAACCACCAAACCGCTCTCCACACTAGAAGGACAATATCTAGCCCTGGGCAGTACATTATATGGGCGGGTGTCTGTCAATTATCACAGTGGTACTTTGTGAGGTCAGGGCAAGACATGGACCAATGAGGGATGGGCA